GTAGGGAAACATTAGCAAATATGCCTAAAGCTGACCAGGACAAATGCTTTTTAAGCAGCTTTTTTGAACACCGAGAAAGGGAAGGACAAGCTGCAAAGGACATGTTGCACCATTTTGCACTTCCACTTCTTCCAAAGTCTTGCCGTAATGCCTCTGCTCAAGAAAACTAGCAGACATTCAAACAAGGTGAAGCCAGTTGTGTCCTGAATTGAATTGCCATTGTGAACCTCAGACCCTGAATTCTAGAACAAGTAAAACCAGGCGGAAGTGGTCATATTGCCCCACCGGTCTCTCAACTCAAAGGGCTGAAGGGGCATTGCCAAAAACTAACAAAGGGCATTAACCAGAAATGCCAAGTGGAAATATGCATGAAAGAGCCAAATCTTGTTCCATCTAAAGTCAATATGAGGTTTACCAGGCTTCAGTGGAAACAGGGCAGGCACAAAATTAACAAAGGTGTTTGGACACTGGAGTCTGAGCAGAATCCGACCCAGAGCTCAGTGAAATCAGTGCAAGTCTTTTAATTGAAGTCAGTGGGATCACGATCAGGATCAGGCTCACAGTGAACAGAGTGGAAACTGAGGAAGATAGTAGAGGATAACAATACATCCATTCACTTTGCCCTTTTGCAGTGCCTTTCATCCCAGGAGCCTGTTCACATCTAACTAAAAATACAACACCCCTTCTGAAGGTATTAAAAGATACTGAAAAATCCTTTTTTGAGAGCACTATGATCTGCCTCTGTGGTGGGGTGTATCAAATGGTTAATATAGTAAAGCCATACAACAGAACAGCAGAAGCAGAAGAGAAACAAGTATACAATATCCCACTGGAAAAGCAGAGCAAGTCAGGTGGGGAGAACATAATTATCCAAGGAAGAATTTTGGAAAGGACACTGGGGTAAACAGATCTCCGTATGCAAAGTGCCAAGGAACCCTCAATGACCTCAGCTCTCTTGGACCTCAGTTTAATGGCTTATGCAAAAGAAAGCGTGTCTAGCACTACAGGACTACATCACCCTCCTGGGCTCCATGGAGAAAAGGTTTTGCTTGTATTAGTTTTCAGTGTATTGCCTTTCAATTTTCTTGACTGTTCCCCTGGTTTTTATGCCATGAGCAAGAGAAAGAGAAGTCCCTGATTTCTTGTCTCTTAATGAGAGAGGCAGGAAGTAAGGAAAAGAGAAAAAAAGCATGGGTAGGTAGAATCTGTTCTCAACTGCAGCAAAGGAAATATGGCCTAAAATGGCTAAGCCTGAGGCCTCTAAACTTGAGAAATGGTGAAGTTAAATCAGGGAGATCAAGTGAAAGAGAGCAGAAATTATAGAGGGCAACATGAGAGACAGAAGGAGCTTGAAAACAAGTCTGTCATTTAATTCCCAGGGTCAGTTAGAGCCCAAGAGATGATGCATTTCTTGTGAATAGCATTTTGGTTGTCAGCATTTGAGCAGCACTTTGGAAGGATGTGACACAAATGGAGACTGAGCCTGAGCCTGCCCCTGTTGGAGTCAGTGGGAGTTTTGCTATTAACTTTTCTGGGAGCAGAATCTGGCCCATACTGGAAGTGGGCATGTCACCATCTCTACTAGCAACGACTCTGTAGCATTCTCTGTAACGGCAAGGTGTCTGATTATCTCTACAGCCTGGGCAGCCAAGTACCTTCTATAAGGAACACTGCACAACACTTTACTGGGTATGAATATAAATCTGTAGGGATTTTGCAAAATATCCTGGAAAACAAAGGATTTAGATTCCAGAAGACATGAATGTGCAAGCAAAATAACGTTCCAGTGCAGAATGGGGTGCAAGTTCTGGAAGAAGCACTTACGAGTGCTGAAGGTCTATCGGGTGGTAATAGGTTTGCTTCAGAGAAACTTGGGCAGATTATTGGTGTAAGAAGGGAGTGGTTCAGAATGAGGATGATGTGGAGACAAAGGACTTTTATGCAGAAGTAAAGAGCTTTTTTTCTTCAGGGAGTGGGTGGTTAAAAGCTGCCCAGGAGTGTTCAGCATTCAGGAAGTGCTCTTCCCACAATGGTTTCTATATATCCCATAGAGACAATTATTTGAGCCTGCCTTTAAAAGCCCATGTGATTTTAAACTGAGCTGTGGATAAAGACCTCTCCATATGGGGAGAAAACTGTTGTAAGGATCACCAGGGGAACTGATGAGCCAGTTTCTGCCCTCAGCTGTTACATGTGTGCAATTCCATTGGCCTTGGTGAAAACACAATTTTGAGATTGCAGCAAACAGGCATTTACAAACCATCATAGTGAATTATTATTTTATATTGATATGACATCCAAAATGTTCACAGATGAAAAGGACGCTAGAAACCATCAAACCAAACTGCCTTCAATCAAGAAAGAGGGTGTGTAGCATGAGATTGTCAAAAACAAAGAAAAAGGGAAATGTAACGACAGCCAATGCCCCGCATCTCTGCAAAATTTGTCCGTCAGGAACACCTTGGAAATGTTATTTGAATTACTGTTCATATTAAGCATGCATGTTGGTGTCCAAATGTGGTTACTGATAAGTTTTAGACTACTGTGTTTTATTACATTTTGTCTATGTGTAATTATATTAGTATATAGATTGATGAGTTATTTTTTTACTTAGCTTTTCAGCCTATCAGACAAAGATGCAAGGTTCATCTTTTAATGTCCTTCAGTCCTTAAACAATAGTAGCTTACTGACAGTCTGGGTCATATCAGTTTTAATAAATTGAGACCCAATTCTGCAGCCATTATCCAGACAAGTAATTATCCAAATAGTCTTGGTGAAATCAATGGGGCTACTTCGGTTAGCAAGGATCTGCTTACACAAAAGTTTGTACAGACCAGCCTGTTTTGAATCAGTGAACTTAGTACAATGATTTTCATGTGTTACTGAAAAAGAATTCAAAGTATCCATGCTTTACATATTATTATGGAAAAAATAGTGTCAGACTGTCAGAAAAGCCAGTATTTACTGCTAAAAATCACATCTATGGCATGTAAATGGGTGAAGCAAAAAACACATCTGTTCAGGATTCTGCTTCACAGTTTTCACTTTCATATGCAAATGCACATCAGATTAAACTTCTGCAATATGGAATTAGTTGATCTAACAGATGTAGTTAATTGCTATAACCTTTATCATTAGGATAACAGGCTAACAAAGGCCAGGCTTGCCTCATCTTTCTCTCCATATTTTGTCTGATAAATATTTCAGTTTGTATTTATCTAGCAGGAGGAGAACACTATGTTGAAATACTGATTTATGACAGACACTATTATCTCTTAATGGTTTTGGCTGATCCACTGAGGTACTTAGGCACATGTCTAACTTTGTTCATGTACATTAAAGGTAGGAAAGTGCTTAAGTACTTTACTGAATAGGGAATTTAATTGTTAGTAGGACTGCCAATAAAACTGATGGAAAAAAACACTTCAAGATTCAGGACACAACGCTTTGTAACTTTCTTAAGTCTATAAATCTCCACCTCCTTTCTGTCAAGTGTGAGCAGCACCATCTCCCAGGTTCCCCATGGCCATAAGGACAGCTGGATAAAAAAACCCAACATCTTGGCAGGTCTGGGCTGATGCTGGTAAGAAGAGGAGAGCTCTTAGAAAAAAACTTGTTTCCTCAGTCACAACCCCCACGATCCAGGACATCTGTCCTCACATTGTTAGTCAGTCTGCAGTCCCTGGATTCCTTCTGCTACTGGATGCCTGAAATGTTAAGGGGCAAAAAGCACCCAGTTCTCACTGTGATCCACCAGAACGTGCGCCCCACCTGCCCCACTCAGTTCTGACTCTGGAGATTTGTGCATTCGTGACCTCCAAACTTGTGTATTGTTACTTGCTACATAAATATCCCAAAGTGCTCCAAATAGTACAAAACAGCAGCCCCTGCCTATCAGCACAGGTGGCTACGAACACATTCCTTTTCTTTCTCCCCCTAATGCTTCTCATTGGCCCCACAGCCCAATTCCAGGTGTCTCTCCTGACATCCAAAGTCCCCCATGGGGCTGGCCCTAGTCACTGAGATCACGTTTTCCTCTGCCCTCCTGCCCCTTCAGAACAGGAGCAGGGAAACCAGCGTTAAGCGCAAGACAACCTTCCTTGCATCCGTGGCTGGCTTCCCTTGCACGAGGGAAACGAAGGATCGCAGGATCAACTCCGCTCAGAACTTAATGGAAACGGCTTTTAACTTGGCTTGCTTTTCCTAGAGAAACACAAACTAAAACACCTCTAAAAGAAGCTATTTCTCCTAGAGGGTGGGAAGGGAAGAGAGAAAGTATTTTAAGTGTTTGGAAAGCACTCAAGAGCCCACAGTGAGGTGGGTCATGAATATAACTAGATAGGTATGCATCCAGAAACCTTTACTCCCATGTGCTGCCACAGCAGGAACATCCCAGGCGGGACTTCTCTGTGCATTTGAGTAGAAAGAGCGACTCGGTTCTTCGGTTCCCGACATCGGGGACGCAGACTCGATCCTAGTTCTCTAAGGCAAAATGGTGGCTCAGCTAGTAGGCCAAAGGGCACAGCCCTGCGTGCTCACCTGCTCTAACCCCTTTTCAGACCGACATGCAGCAGCTGGGAAGGGGGAAAGTCGGAGGTGATGTTTCAGGTTCCCCCCCCAAAATTGTCAGGAGCAGGGAAACTGGCAAGTGCAAGACAAAGCTCCCTTGCTTCGCGGAGGGAAACCTGGCTCTCCTCACACAAGGGGCAGCTGTGTGAACACATCCTTTTCACTCTCCCCCTAAGACCTCTCCTTGGCCCCAGAGCCCAGTTCAAGGTCTCTCTCCTGGCATTCAAAGTCCTCCAAGGGGCCCCTAGTCACTGAGAGATCTCGTCTTCCTCTGCCCTCCTGCCCCTTCACAGCAGGACAAGCACCACCCTGGCCTTGGTGAGGGAAAGCTGGCTCCCCTCAGGCAAAGGAAGTTCAAGGTTGATTTTGCAGTCAGGACCACCCGGTTCCTTCCAGTGTCGCGGGTAACCGGGGCACCCACCAACCCGCCCCGCGCCCCGCGCTTGGGGCCGGCGACGGGACGGGCCGGGACACATTTGCTGCTGGGGCGACAATCCCTCCTCCCGCAGGGCGAGACG